ATAAAATACGCTAAAGCATTAAAAAGCTATTACACACACTGAACATAAAGTGGCAGAGTAATGATGGATCCCACCATGCAGGAAACATATTCAAAAATATTATCTTCCTGGTAATGAAATGCCATCCGTTTCATTTTAAGCTAAATATGTTAGACATATCAGTGGAGTCTGTGCTGACACAGCAGTGAGTTGAAATTGAAAATCTGAAATTATATATATGATTGGACACAGTGTTAAAGTAATTTATAGGAAAAACCACGAATGTGCTGGGTCTGCACCTTCTGGTGAACTCATTTTATAGAATCAGATAGAGGAAAACTCTACCATTTCTAATGTGCAGTTAGAATGGCAGCCCGCCAGGGCCCCAATATATTCAGTTTGAAAAGAGGACAGACAGAGACAGGGGCTAGGGGAGGGAGGGGCTGGGAAGGGGAGGGCAGCAAGGGAAAGAGGTGGCAGGGTGGGCCATGGAGACAGGGAAAAGCTGGGCCAGAGAGGCTTGCTTCAAATTACTGCAATTCTGCATAAGCCATCAAGAAAATGGCATTGGCTTTCATTGCCCTGACCTAATGGGAGATAGCATAGGAGCTGCATTAGTGATCAGGACAAATGGGAGATAATAGGAGACCTGGGAGGGGGCTGGCTTCAGCCAGACTGTTGCTGGGTGCTGGGTGACTCCACTCACTATGGTGGCAGTCAAGCTGTGGCGGAGGTCATTTGACCCCAGAAGTTCAGGTAGACCCAGAGAGTGCTGAGGGGAAAAGATGAGATGATGACCAGCTCAGGTCGCCAGTCTGTCTGCCTGCTTGTCTGTTTCTCTGTCATCCTTTATCTTTCTCAGCATTGTACACATTCATCTACAAAGTGCAGTGGGAAGCAGGGTGAGCCAAAGATGAGGAGAGAAATAGGGCTGAGCGTGGTGTGGAAATGTGTGACGAATTGGTACCCTGATGTGCTTTTCGTCTTTCATTTATATCCATAATCCTGCTTGAAACGTGGATTATTTGCATTCATATTGAGCTGGTCCCCTCTGGAACCCTGGTGAGCCACTGCTGTGATTTCCATTTGGTGACTGCTTGGGCAGAGACAGAGATGGTCTTGTGTCTTCTTGAATGTCCTTTGTAACCTTCAGTTTCTCCTGAGAAAAGGAGGTGACCAGGAAAGAAAGGAGGAAGGACACTTTGATCCTGTCATGGATGCATAGCCCAGGACTCTTGGTAACCTCAAATAGGATGGAGATAAACACAAAAACTTCTCTATGTCTGTGTGTCGGTTTCTTCAAACTGCCTGGGGGTTTTGAATGAGTAGGCATGAGCTATAATGCATGTGGAATTTTTCTTTCTAAATATTCAGGGTGTTTTCTACATGGATGCCAATTACTACATGACCGCACAGCATGATGACAAAGGTACTTAGGGTGCTTACCCGTTTGGGAGTGAGGAAACTGAGGCTTACAGAGGTCAGATGACCTTCCTCAAAGTTACAAAGACAAAAAGTACCCCTGCTACAAACTCTATATTCTTCAAAGTCATTGTGTGGCAAGAATTTTCTGCTCCATTTAACAGCAATCACTGTGGATGGATGGAGGGGTTAAATAGCTTGCCCTGGGTCTTAGCCGTCTCTGAACCCTCCAAGTAGCTCAGCTTCCTCCTGTATTCTGTGATTTTCCTCCTAGCAATCACTAAAGTGGTAATTTTATTTATATGTGTGCAGATTACTGCCTGTGCTGGGCACTAAGCTCAAGAACACAGCGACTGTATCCCTTTACTCACCACTGTATCCCTAGGTACAGGACAGGTGCAGGTGCTCAATACTGACTGATGGGATAAATGTATGAGTGGAAGGTGCATTTTCACTGATAATCTATAGGATACCTGGCACCAGGACCTTTCTTTTTTCCCCCTTGTCTTTATTGTCTCAGTGGTCTGCTCTGAAAAGGAATGATAGTCATTTATTTAGATTTCAACGTCTTAGAAAGTGGAGACGACAGCTATCTACAATTCTACCTCATGCTTATTAACTTTTATCCAGAAAGGGTTTGCTTTGATGGGTCCTGAGATAGAGTACTTACCATGTCACTGAGCAACCCTCACTCTGCTCTATAGAGGTGGTTTGTGGAGGAGTCTAGCTTAGGGAAGCAGGTGTAATTCTAGAAGCACCATCATCCTAGCCTTGCCTTCTCTAGAGCTCGGCACATATAGCCTCTCACCTCCACTGATGGTCCTCTAGATGTGTTAAGGCATCTCTTAGGTTCCACACATGCTTCTCTTTTGCAGGCTTTTCAAGCAGTTTCCTTATAGATATGGGCACAACACTATATTCATCCTGAAAGGCCAATGCCCCTTTAAAATATTTAATGCAATTAAAATATTAAACACTGCATTCTATATGTAATTGAAGTATTCTATCATTTAACCTTCCTGTCATTTGAAAATTCAAATGTGACAGTCTTATGTATTTTCATGCATGGACCATAATATTGTGGTATTTGTGACCAGATAAAACTTATTTTTGCTATTTGTTGATTCTTTCAACAAATTTTTCCCAAGACGGGGTTTCTCTGTGTAATAAATAGCCCTTGCTATCCTGGAACTCATTTTGTAGACCAGGCTGGCTGTGAACTCACAGAGATCTGCCTGCCTCTGCCTCCTGAGTGCTGGGATTAAAGGTGTGCTGCACCATGCCTGGCTTCAACAGATATTTCTTAAGCCAACACTATATGCTAACCATCAGGTAGTCTTGGTTACAAAGTGAAAGGAGCCTTGATTCCTGCTGTCAGCTGAGTGCCTGCTAAGCTACTGGAGGAGGCATAAAAGCTAATACTAGAAAGGAGACCAAGAGAGGGTAAATTAGATTATGAAGAAAGATGAAGGTAGGAAAAGGACATATGGGGCATGAAAGAGTGGGACTGGGGGGGGCAGTGATAGCAAGCATGGGGAGATGAGCTAGAAGGAGAAATCTACCAAAACACACTTCGTTTGAAGATGTTCAAGACTACCTGATGCCTTGTATGCTAATTTAAAAGAGTTAACAGTTATGAGATTCTTCAGTCCTGTGACATATATTCAATGTTATATAGCACGTGACTCAGCCTTTTATTTTATAAATTAATAATAGATCATTAGTTCTTTAAAAGCTTTTTTAAATTTTCTTTTTGTTAGCATATGTTAATTGTATAAAGTAATGGGCTCCATTTTGACATTTTTCATATAAATCACAGTCACACTCTTTGTGCACATATGATTTGCACGTGTGTTGCTGCACATCTGTGTGCAGATTCATATGAGTGCCTGTGCATGTACAAGTCCAAAGTTTACACTGGGTGACTTTCTCAGTTGCTCTCTACCTCACCTGTTGAGGTGAGGTCTCTGGCTGAACACAGAGTTTACCATTTCAGTTAGTCTGGCAAGCCAGCTCACTCCAGGGAACCATCCATCCCCCAGTGCTGTCACCGCAGAAAGACTTCCATGCCCATCTGGCTTTTTGGGGGGATTCTAGAGACCTGAACCCCAGCCTTCATGCATGTACACCAAGTCCTTTTCTACTAGCCATCTCCCCATCCCATATCCACACTCTCTTTTACTCTCTTATCTCCTTTCTCTTCTCCCCTTTCCCCATTACATCTACAGTGTATCTTTTGCTTTAATGTATTTCCCTCTTAAATTCAACATAGGGGAGAAAACATGTCTTTCAAAATCTGGCTTATTCTGCTTAACACAGGCTCTATCCATCTTTCTGAAAAAAATGACATAATTTTTTCTTTTGTTTTTAGTGGCTCAGTTTTCCTAACTGAGGGACCACAGTGATTGTCATATGAAGGTGTTGTATAATGAGATAATATTATCTCCCCTTGATGGACAGAAATGTTGTTAGGTCTGTGTAAATTACCCATGTCTAGATACTCAACTAGAAGGCTAGGTGGCTTCCAAGCTAAGCAGAGAATCTGGGTGGTCTTTTTCAGTGTGAGCATGTAGGGAAAACTCAATCTCACTTCCTGAAGAGACACCCGCTTCTCCAACATGCTAATGGACAGTCATTCTTTATCACAAATGCAGGAGAGACAAGTTGTTTTCTCTGGGTTGTAAAGACAGAAATCTGGAAAGGTACTGTGACTGTCTCTGCAGGCAGCCTTGGGGTGGCGCTTGAGAGAACAGTAGGCTTTTGAGAAAGGTGGGAGGAGGGCATTGTAGGCAAGGGGAAGTGGTGTGAACAAAGGCCTGGAACTGGTGACCAAATGCAAGACACCTGGTTTGTGTGAAGCTTCGTGTTTAAAGTGAGCAGTGTAGCTTTGAACATGTGAAAAGAGCCAAGTGTCCAGTCCTGCTCAGTTATCAGTGAGTAAGAGTCCAGAATGGTTGGGCTCAGACACTGGGTTTCATGCTGAAATATATGGCCACAATGGACCAGCTGGTGCTGTCTTTAATCTCAGTGTCAACTTGTTATAAATAAAAACAAATAGGTTTACTGATGTTCTCCTTTAGTAAAAACTAAGATGCCATTAGTGGGGAATGAGAGAGCAAAGGAAATCACCATGTGAAGAATGTTGATTCTGGCTCCCAAAGTACCCGCTCCTCACCATTCTTATGCCAGGTTAAGTTTAAGGCTTTGCTTTTGGGTGGTACTCGTTTTCATGACTCCATTTTCAAGAGGCCTTCCCCAGCTAAGTCACTGTCAAATAATGCTTTTACTCTTAATGCACTTTAATTGCTTGTTTATTGGTGTGTGTGTGTATGTGTGTGTGTATGTGTGTGTGTGTGTGTGTGAGAGAGAGAGAGAGAGAGAGAGAGACAGAGACAGAGACAGAGACAGAGAGAGACAGACAGAGACAGAAAGAGACAGAGACAGAGAGAGTGTTTGAGATGAGGTTTCAGCAGTAGCCTAGGCTAGCCTTGATCTCACCATGCTCATGTTTCAGTCGTCTGAGTTCTGGAATTATAGTGTGTGATTTTCTTAATGTTTTGATATTGAAAATCATGTGTGTTTTTCTTCTTTATCCAAAGCATTAATACCAGATTTCAAAAAAGACATCACAATGGGGAAATCTACAGAGACAACTGAACCAAGCTTTTGGGAACTCACAAACTCTAGACCAACAGCTGTGGAGCCTGCATGGGATCGAACTAGGCCCTCCGCATATGGGAGACAGTTGTGTAGCTTGGTCTGTTTGAGAAGCCCCCTGGCAGTGGGACCAGAATCTATCCCTGGTGCATGAGCTGGCTTTTTGGAGCCCATTCCCTATGGTGAGATGCCTTGCTCAGCCTTGATGCAGGGATGGGGTGGGGTGGGGGCTTGGTCCTGCCTCAACTGAATGTACCAGGCTTTTGTTGACTCTCTATGGGAGGCCTTACTCTTTTGGAGGAGTGGATAGCAGGTGAGCTGGGGTGGGGGGAGGTGGGAGGATCAGGAAGAGGGATGGGAGGGGGAACTGTGGTTGGTATGTAAAATGAATAAAAAATAAATAAAAAAAGAAAAGACATCACTGAGAGAAGAAGTGTGACACACTCAGTGAGAGATGAGCACAATGTTTAGAACATTCTCATGTGCCACAGAGACACCATCATAGAGTCATATAAAGTATTTAGCTGATATAAAAATAAAATGTATTAAGAACAAGCTTCAATATATCTTCTAGATATTAGATATTAAGAAAGAAACAAGGTCAATGTAATTTAAAATTATATATGGTCATATACTAATTTTCAAGATATATGGCTGAAATTATAAGGTAAACATTTTGCTTCCACAAAATTGCTTTTTTTTCTCTTGTCTAACCCCTTGTCCTGCTACCCATATCAATTTCCTTTCATGCAAATTCCATAGCTTATTATTCTTTCTCACCATGTCTGAGTTTTGATGAAATGTTCTCACTGGCCCTTGGTTGTCTAGGAAGCAATTCAGCATTCCAGGAGACCAGAGGGAACCATGTGTCATGGAAAACAGAATTCAATTCCATTGTACCTCTGCTTTTCCTCACTAAAGTAACCAGTATATGACATCAATCTGCTGTCTACAGGTTTGGGTCCCACCATGTCCATATATTGAAGAGTTAACCCTAGGAAGACTGTATCAGAGAGGCAATGGAAGTTAAGTTATAAGTGTGGGCCACTAATCTTTTATGACTGAAGTCCTCATTAAAAAGTGAGACAGATGAGGAATGTGTGTGCATGGAGAAAAATGCATTTGGGGCCAAATTAGATGTCCATCCAGAGTAGTCTCAGGAGAAACCAAAACAGTCAATGTCCTAATCTTGGACTTTGAGACTCCAGATATGTGAGAAAACACATTTCTGTTGCTCAGGTCACCTAGTCAGTAGTGAGTTGCCATGTTAGCTGAGTAGAGCAGAACCTCATACCACCTTTTAAAGGTATATTATGCCACACTGCTCCATTTAGGAAACTAATCTTGCTTTAAATATGGCCTTTTGGGAAGAAAAGACACCATTTAAGAGACTACACTATTTTTTATTTTTATTTATGTGTATGTCATATGTATGGAGGTACCTGGGGAGCCCAGAAAAGGGTATCAGATCCTTTGGAACTGAAGTTATAGGTGGTTTTGAGACATCCATTACAGGTGCTGGGAGTTGAACTCTGGTCCTTTGAAGAGCAGCAACTGTTCTTAACTGCTAATCTATCTCATCAGCTTCTGGGTTACATTATTTAAAGATATATCTTAAAGGAAAATACATTGCAATTTGAAGAAGATTCCTTCAGAAATACACACACACACACACACACACATATACACGTACATGTATGTACACATATTTGCATTTTTTGTACGTCCACATGCTTCTTATCAGGAGATAGCTTGATCCACAGGGAAGAATTGTTCCTCTCCTCACTGTAGCATTTCACATTTAGTGTGGCATTAATTAGAGTAATTTTTTTTCTAGTTAGCAACTGCCAACTAGGCAGAAAGCTCCTTGTTGGGTGTCTTGATACATTTGTGTTTTGCAAATCACTTCAAAATGATCACCTTATTCTAACTCTCCATGACGACATCCTCTCATAGGGAGGATGCATAGATAGACGGGAACAGTCTTCCTTCCTGGTTTTCAGAAACACTTGTGCTGCTGGGTAAGGACTTCAGCCAGCACTGTAGACTCGACACAGGGTCCTTTAGGTTTCCTTGTTATCCTCAAGCATAGGCATCTAGTTCTTTATCTCCTAGACACAGCTCACCCTTTTTTTGTACTACCAGATAGTACAGTCTACCATTACTGCTGTAATACAGTTCACAGACTTAGCAAGTCAGAACAACCCTTGTTGACTATCTCAGTTTCCCTCACCCATAAGGTATTGGCAGGGTTGCTAAACTTTCTGGACACTTTCAGAATGAGTTTATTGAAATTATTGTCCAAGTCAGTTCCCTCTGGCTGTTAGGATGAGGTCTGTATCCTTGATGCTATTTGTGGTTTCTTGCTCTCCATGTGGCCTCCTTCCTTCAGTGATGGGTATGAGACAGGGCAGAAAGATAGAAAAATTATGGGGATGTGGGAAGAGAAAGGAACCCTTCATTCAGAGTCTGGTTTCATTCCAGAGTCTGGTGGGAGCCTCTTTGTAGCTGAGAATTAAGAATTCTGATACAATTAACAATGTTTTCTGTGAAAGCTCTCAACATAGAGGCAGTATTTCTTTTACATAGAGATATTTTCAAACAACATTAAAATAGGGCTAAAGAGATTGTTCACTTTGCTGTGGATATCGCTCTGTGTAAATAAAGTGCTGATTGGCCAGTAGCCCGGCAAGAAGTATAGGCGGGACAAGCAGAGAAGAGAATTCTGAGAAGTGGAAGGCTGAGGCAGAGAGACACTGCCAGCTACCACCATGAGAAGATGTTAAGATACCATGAGCCACGTGGCAACTTATAGATTAATAGAAATGTGTTGATTTAAGATAGAAGAACTAGATAACAAGAAGCCTGCTGTGGCCATACAGTTTGTAAGCAATATAAGTCTCTGTGTGTTTACTCCCTTGGGTCTGAGCGGCTGCGGGACTGGCAGGTGAGAGAGATTTGTCCTGACCGTGGGCCAGGCAGGACCAGAAAAACTCTAGCTACATCACTTGATAATGTGCTTGCCACATAAGCACGAGGAACTTAGTTCAGATTCCTATCATCTATTTAAAAGGAGGCTATGCTGATAGCACATGTCTGTAATCACAATGTTGGGGTATAGAGACAGGAGGATGTCTGGAGCCCAAATGGTTAGCCAGGCTAGCTAATAAGTGAGCTCTAGGTTCAGTGAGAGACTCTGTCTCAAAAATTATGATGGAGATGAACTGAGGAAGACATCTAACATTGACCTCTGAACCCCTGGCCTACACACACACACACACACACACACACACGCACACACACACACACACACACACACACACACACACACACACACACACACACACACACTGGTGGTTTGAAAGAAATAATCCCCAAAGGGTGTGGCACTATTAGGAGGTGTGTGTGGCTTTGTTGGAGTGGGTATAGCCTTGTTGGAGGAAGGAAGTGTGTCACTGTGGAGTTGATCTTTGAGGTGTCATATATGCTCAATGTCGGAGACCATTTTCTGTTGCCTGAAAGATGTAAGACTCTTAGCTACTTCTCCAGCACCATGTCTATCTGCATGCCACCATGTTCCACAATAATGATAATGGACTAAACCTCTGAACTGTAAGAGAGCCACTCCAGTTAAATCTTTTCCTTTATAAGAGTTGCTGTGGTCATGGTGTCTCTTCACAGCAATAGAAACCTTAACTAAGACAAACTCACACAGTTGAAACAACAATAAGCCATATTTAAGTCTTGGCAATATATGACCTTGAGCATAGCTTTAATCCTTCCCAGTATAATTCTTGGGACTCTCACAAACAAGATTATTAACTTTTGTTTACAATGAAGACATTTGTCTTCTTTTACTAGGAACAAAGCTCAAAGGCAGGTATTCTATTTTGACTTGTTCCCTAGGGTTTACTAGTAGAAATCCATCTTGAATGAAGGAATACTGTTCTGGGGTGACTTGGGTCTTTTAGCAGTGCACCAGTTCCTACAAGAGCAGGATATGTGAGAGTCTGTGGGAGTTCAGCTATCAAAGGGTTCTTAGGTGGAGAAGAGAGGGGTAAGAAAATATCAGATAGAGAGACCTAGACAACAAGAAGAAAGACAGAAACACAGAATAGCTCCAGGAGGCCCTAGGTCAATAACCAACAGCCTCTTTGTTTATTGAAAAGGACTTTTTATAATATGTGAAAGTAAGCAACAAAAGACCTCCCCCTTGCAAGATCAAAGCACACTATACAGCTAAGTGTAGACCCTTCAAAACACCTGGTAAACACGCCCGTGCCCAAATTATCTCCTTATGCAGCCCTGCTGGGTAAAGCAAGCTCAGATTCTCTGACCCTGAGTAAGTTCTCACTAGGAAGCCTCTGTGGGCTCCCACAAGGATATCATAAAACAGCACATCTGTCCTCTTCCACTCTCCTGCCTCCTTGCTTACATGTCTCCTTCAGCATAGTGCTGGTCACCTTTAACTCTATGTTATTTTATAACAGAGCCAGGGGGGCCTTATTAGCATGCAGGCATCATGCTGGTTTGGACACTTTAGCCATACAAATTGTGAGCTAAATAAACCTGCTTTCCTTAGAAACTACCCATCCTTATGTATTATTATTATTATCATCATTATTATTTATTACAACACAGAACAGACAGAGACCGTGGGGAAATGAGACATAGGATAGGATAAACAAAATCAGGGGCACATTAGTTAGCAGATAGTTGTTGTTGCAAGCAGTCCTCAAAAATCCTAATCAGCTTGGGTAAAGCCCAAACATTAAAACTATACATCTACTATTCCCTAACAAAAACCTCAACACCAGGTATGAGAAGAGAAGAGCATGCCAATTGGTTATCTAATACCAAGTGGTCAGCCCTGAAAGCCATGCATATGAATAACATTATGAAGACTGAGTAGGTTATATTTATGTATTTAGGAATACACATACATACACACGTGTAACAACAATGAATGAGGAAAGGTCATGAGAACAAAGTGAGATATATGGGAAGGTTTTCAGGGTGGAATGGGAAGGAGGAAATGACGAATTATAATATCAAAAAATTAAAAACCTGTATATCTCTGTGTATGATAAATATACCCTCTTTTTTATTTTTATTTCATTTTATTTTAGATAGAGTTTCCCTATGTAGCTAAGGCTGGAATGGAACTCACAGCAATTCTCCA